CACACAAACACACAAACACACACAACACACAACACACACAACACACACACCACACACACACACACAACACACACAACACACACAACACACAACACACACAACACACAACACACAACACACACAACACACACAACACACACAACACACAAACACACACACACACAAACACAACACACACAACACACACAACACACACAACACACACACACAACACACAACACACACACACACACACACACTCTGCCTCCAAATTCGGAGCATGCGCAGCGAACCCGATGCGGCCTCCCCCCAACATCCCTGTCAAAAACACTACAGAGTACACTTGGCGGCGGCGGCGGCTGCGGCGGGGGCAGCGCGCAGCGGCTGCGGCGCGGTGGCGGCGGCGGGGGCGGGGGCGGCGGCGGCGGCGGTGGCGGCGGCGGGCGGCGGCGGCAGCGGCTGCGGCGCAGCGGCTGCGGCGGCGGCGATTCGGCAGCGGGGGCGGCGGCGGCGGCGGCGGGCGGCGCGGTGGCGGCGGCGGCGGCGGACAGCGGCGGCGGCGGCGGCGGCTGTGGCGCAGCGGCGGCAACGGCGGGCGGCGGCGGCGGCGGAGGCGGCGGCGGCGGCGGCGGAGTCGCCCCCAGTAACTGCAAATCCAAACTGCTGAATATGCTGCGGCTCGGGCCAGGCTCGGGTGCTACGTATGTTTTGGGAGAGCGGGTGGGAGTGAGCGAGACGGCTTGCGGGCGGGGAGGGAGTCTTGACCCCTCCCCCTACCCCCTCCCCTGGACCTGGACGGGGGTGGTCGCGAGGGGTTGGAGCGTCTAAGATGGCCCAATATGGCTCCAAGAAGGCCTCGGAGAGGCCAATATGACCTCAAAGCTGGCTCAAGATAGCGCAATCTGCGTCAAGATGACTTTCAAGATGCTCCAAGAGGCCCCAAGAATGCCCCAAGACGGCTCCAAGAGGCCTCCGAGACTCCCAATGAGGCTTCCAAGAAGCCAGAATCCTTTAACAACCTAAGGGGAATCAGCGATGTTTTCCTTCTCGCCTTTTCGCTTCCGATGGATATCCGAGGCCTCAAGATGGCTCCAAGATGGCCCAATAGGGGCCCCAGAGAGGCCCAAGACGGCCCCAAGAGCGCCCAAGAACGCTCCAAGAGCGCCCCACGAGGGGTTTAGGAGGCGATGTTTGGCGTTCTGGAAGGGCAACGCTAATTAAGGACCCCCCCCTTCTTTGATTGATTTCCTCCAAGATGGTCCCAAGAGCGCCCCTAAAGCTCCCAAGAGCGTCCCAAGAGGGCCTCAAGAGGCGCCCAGACGGCCCCAAGAGGCCTCCAAGAGGCTCCCAAGAGACTCCCAAGAAGCCTCAAGTGGATCCCCGAGGCACCCAAGATGCCCCCCCAGACGCTCCAAGCGGCCTCCAGAACAACTCCCAAGAGACACCCTGGGAGGTTCTTATGTTCGTCATGTTTTGTTTGTTCTCCTCATCCTTCTCCTCCTCCTCCTCCTCCTTCTCCTTCTCCTCCTCCTTGCCCGCCTCCTCCTCCTCCTGTCCCTCTACTTTCTCAGCCTCCTCCTCCTCCTCCTCCTTTCCTCTCCTCTCCATCCCCCACGTCCATCCTCTTCCCCCTCCTCCTCCTCCTCCTCGTCCACTTCCTCCTTCTCCTCCTCCGCCCCCCCTCGCGGCGAAAGCAGCGACGACAGAGTCACCGACGACGAAGACGAAGACGACGATGACGACGGCGGCAACGGCGGCGGGAAAGAGGGGCGGAAATCGGAGCAGCAGCAGCACCACCACCAGCAAAACCAACAACAACAACAGCACCAACAACAGCACCCGCATCATTCGCTACCCAAGATCTCCCAATTCACCGTTGTTGCCCACGCTGTTTCACTATGCGCGTCTCTTCATCCCTTCTCCCGTCAGCTCTCCTGGACATCGTTTCTGGATGGGTAGGTGGGGATACTTTTTTGACCTGCGGCCCGCAAGGAAGAGTCCAGAGGGCAGGTCAATCGGGCTGACTGGGGCACAGAGCCAGATAATTTGCGAATGCTCGCAGCTGCACATGCACAGAACAAAATGAACTAAATTCAGGGAGACGCATCTTAGCGTCGAGAATGTTGGTGGGGATACACGAAGCGTCAATAATTGTCTCCAACATGGGTCCACGATCGCCCATGAGCCCTCCAAGGAAGACCCCAGGAAGCGAAACTCATTGAAGACACGTTTGGCAATAATTTCGGTGGTCTTGCCTGGACGGGTCTCAGACGCCTTACGACGAACACTCTGCTTTACCAAAACCCTTTCACGGAGAATCGGCGCACGGGAAATTCCGCTATCGTCTTCGGCTGTGATTGCTGGACGGAGGCGGCAACAAACCCCGAAGAGCAACAGACACGCGTACTGGCACGACTAATAATCGTGTGACACAGCGACTGCCCACTCCACCACTGATAGCAACAATCCACCGCGCAACTGGTGTACAGATTCTGTGCACGTGCGTACGGTGCGAAGGTCGCACAAAAAGGCAAAGGAGGCATGGCGTGAGCAACTGCCTTCCGTAAGATGCCGGTGGCGATACTCACTACGAGCCCTGCGGTTCTATCCTAGTTCGCTATCAGTGGGCTTGCTGCGGACTTGGCGGCATCCCGTCGCCGATCGCCTGGACGGCAATATGGCTGTTTTGTAAGAGAACTGCTAGCATGGCCAGGCTTAAACGGCATCGTCACAGTCAGGAGCACAAGGAACCCAATGCATCACTGTTCCCACTGATGCGTCTCCCTCATGCCACGACTGCGCTTGCTTAAAAATCGAACGCCCTGAAACGATTGACCACACCGAGATGCACGCACATATGTGCTTCCACCCGCTGTGCACGCTCCTGGCAGGATGGAGACTGGATGAGGGAGGATGAGGAGGCGGGAGGATGAAGTGACTTGCCAGATGCAACAGCAATTTGGGATGCGAATGGCTATAGTTAAGAAAGGAGGCATGAACACGCACACACTCATCCCTGTGAATTTTGAAACATTGGGAACTTGCGGCCTGACCAAACTACGTAATCAAACTGCTCGCCGAGCAACGCATACTCGCTCGTGCAACTGTGCGAAGCCCGATGCCACGGGCTAAATACTCCCTATCTACCAGCAGGCAACACCAGGACCACTGCGGGACACGTGTGTATCCTTGGTTTGACACGGTCGCCGCTCACGCCCCGCCCTCCGCCGCAGCAGCTGAAACCAGCTCCTGCTGCGCCCTCTGAGCTGCCACGGCCAGCCGCACCTCGCTGCCAGCCTTCTGCAACGCGGCCACTGCTGCTTCGTAAGATGCCTGTATCTCCATGGGGCAGGCCATGACCGCTGTCTGAAGCGAGCCCAGGATGAGAGAGGTGTCGGCGGCCACCGTCGGCAGCAGGCCCGAGCAGACGAGGCCCACGCCCAATAGCCCTCTGGCCATCGCCAGGGGCGGCATCTCTCGCGAGGCTGGGAGCTTCGTGGCGAGGGCCTGGGCGCACAGCATGCTCTGCTGCCAGACCTGGTTCAGCCTGGCTGCGTGGATGCCGCAGGTGATGATGTTGAAGCGCGAGACGAAGATCGAGACCCAGCTCTCCACAGTGGAGGGCTGTGTCTCCCACTTCAGCGTCACCAGCAGAATGCCCTCCTGAGCCGTCAGCGCGTCCTCGGTGGCGTCTGGAACGTGGTGGCCCAGCTGCCTCAGGCACCCCACCATGCGCTGGGCGTGCGGGACCATGGAAGCGTTGGACACCACTGTGGTCGCCGTGTCCGCCTTCTTCAGCAGCTTCACGATCACCGTGCACGCGAGCGGGAGGTGCTCTGGGAGTATTCCCCCGTCGCGGCGCAGGCAAGCGACGTCGAGCAGCGTCGCAGCTTGGAACCCAGCTGCAGGAAGCAGCCCGACAGCCTGGCACAGGCTCCACATGAAGCTCACCCCGGCGTCGCGCAGCCCGGCATCGAGGGCCACGCCGCCTCGCGGAGAGAAGGCCCTGCGCTCCCTCTCCATGTGGAACTCGACGAGCTCGTCCGCCACGCCCGCATCAAAGAAGGCGTCCTCCAGGTCCTGCTGCTTCCAGGGGCTCCCGGCCTGCTGCGCGGCGCCCAGCTCGGCCGCGGCCTGCGAGAGGCGCCCACACTCCATCCCCTGGCCGAGACACATGGAGGGCAACGGCGGGCGCCAGCGGGTCTGGGGCCCAATCCGCGCTCGGCAACAAGTCGAGGACCCTGAGCCGCAAAGTCGGTGCTGAGGAGGACGGTAAGTAGGAGGGGGCTGAGCCCAAGATCGGCACAACTTGCGCTTCAGCTTCGCAGGCATGCACTGCTTCAGCACGACGCCCGAATCTGGAACTCCCACCGGGGGCTGCGTCACGGCTGCTTCCCTGTGACCTGGTCGATGGCTAGGCCGCACCCCCTCCCCTCTTCTCCCCGTCCATTCATCCGACCGATTACGATACATCGACATCAGTGCTCGCAGATCCGTGCTGTGGTCAGCGAGCAGTGGTGGCCTCTTGTGGTGGCGGAGGGGCGGGGAGAACCTGCCCGACGCCTCGCGGTCCCTCGGAAGCCAACCGTGGATCACTCGTGGTCCGTACTCGCCCCCCGCGCGCGAGGGAGAGCACGGCGTGGCCAGGCCCACCCCGAGCACGCTTCCCCGCCTGCGTCCACGCCGAGGCAGGGTGGCCCTGCGCCGCAGCTCGCAGCAGGGCGCGCTCTGGGGACGCCTCGCGTCCGGCTGGAGCCCTCGCGCCGAGCCGTCGCGGCATGCTGGACCTGCGACCAGCGCGCGCAAGGCCGCCTCCGAGCTCCGCTCGGCCGCCCAACGACGAGGGAGCGGGCCCACCCCGAAGACGTCCGACCACCGTGCGGCCCCCCCCCCGTGCTGCGGGGGCCTTCCCCCGGAGGCACGCCCCCGCGGGGAGAGCACCCGCCGGGGCGCGCGCCGGCCCCGCCGCTCCCCGCCCGCGGCGCCCCGGCTCGGGCGGGCACGGGCGGCGCCGCGGGAGCCTGATGAAGCCGATCCAGAAGTCTCCCTCCTGCCGGGGGGGGGGCCGGGTGCAGCGCCGTAGACGTGGCAGGAGTCGACCGCACGCAAGAGTGGCCCTGGGGAGGAGTGACCTTTGGTGCGCGTGCGGCTTGTTGCGGGCCGCGGGGGGGCCAGACACAAGCGCGCAAGACGGCACTGCCGCCTCGCGTTCGGCGATCAGGGGATCCCAGTGGGCGCGCACCAAAGGTCACTCCGGCGAAAGGTCACGCTTACGTCTAACGATTAGACTCTAATCGGAGGAGGCACGTTTGAGAGGAAGCCCTGCCACGCGGACTCGTGGGGCACAGTCCTCGTCGGCGCCGGTCTTTTGAGGGTCCTGAGGTGCTCCCAAGCTTCTGGGGGTCCCTGGGGCCATCGGGCATTCCATGGGGCACCTGCTGGCAGGCCGATTTCTGATTTGATGTGTCTACCGCATGTGTGAGGTGGGGCAGAGATAAGACGAGAACGACGCCAGGATGCGGTCGGATCTCAAGGTGCGCTCCAGGGGTTGCGGAGTGCCTGGCGGCCATCGCCTCTGGAGCCCGCGTGGAACAGCAGTAACACCTGTGATCCTTACAACTTTTCATTCGCATGCCTTCTTGCTCTTCCGAAAAGAGGAGGACGCTGCGATCCTCTGTGTGCGCTGCAAGGTGGATTAGTGGGAGTGCGGTGAAGTACCAAACGGTAGGCTATGCGATGAAGGACATGCCTGGTGGTGCAATGGAAACCATGGCAATGCCACACATCTGTGTTCTACGGGTCTTCTTTGATCTAGTTTTCATGCCTTTAGGTTATTCGCGTGCTTCCGATTTCCATTACGCGATGTTTGTTGCGCCAGATCTCCGAATTGTTTGTCATAGCGTTGAACTGCTGCATATTGTGCTACGCTATTGTGTTTGATTATGCCCTTTTATTGTCGGTTTTTTTATTTCCATGTGATCTTGCCTGCCGCCTGAGTGCATGATCGGGCGCGGCGGACTGCACAACATCTGCATCTGTCCTGGACCACGCCGCTGGAATATCCAATACCGCAAAGCGGAACATAGCTTTCGTCAAAGAGAACTGCGAAGCGGATGAACATGCGGCATAAGGTTGACCCACATCTACGACGCATCCAATGGGCAACAACAAATCGCACGAACCGTTGTAGGTATCCGCATGTCTGCACGGGGGAGCAACTGTATCTAGGATGACGATAACAACACGACGGAAATCAGACTGACCTCTTCGGGTAGCGGTCATGCAGCGACAGGGACACCGCGGAAAAGGACAACTGATGTACCCAAGCTACTAACTCAAGTCATGTGGCGACGTGGAGATGCGGACACAAATCCGCATACTTGCCATGTGCTCGCGCGTTCCGAAGCAGGCGCTCACGCCGAGGAAAGCCTGATGGCACGGTGTTGTAAGGCGTGGCAGGCTCGAGAGGGTAATCCCCCCCCGCCCTCCCTGACCTCCCCCTCCTACCCGCCCCCTCCCATCCCCTCCCCCTGCCACCCCCCTCCCCGCACCCTTTTTGACGTTGCTCAGACGCTGGCTACGTGGCTGAAGCGTTCTTGCAGGAAAACAAGTGGCGCGCGTGCCCTTGCTCTTGCACCAAGGAGCTGCGAAGGACAGGAAACTTTCGCTTCCCTCCTCCAGGAGTTTGTTTCCGTGGCCGGGGGGAGGGGGGCGAACGGCGACCGACAAACGAACGACTGAACGGCGAAAGTAAAGAGGTCCGAACTCTAGAACACAGCTGTGCAATATAGTAAACGTGTCCGAACTCTAGAACACGGCAAGTCCAGGGGGGCCATGGCAGACGACGAACGAGTGGGCCAGGGAAGCCAGGGGGGGGGAAGCGAGGGGTGCCTGGGTCCAGAGGGGTGGGTCCAGGGCCAGGCCAGGGGACCAGGGAGGCCATGGGGGGGCCAAGGGAAGCCAGGGGGGGAGGGCGAGGGGGGCTGGGTCCAGGACATAAGCAGGGGGAGGGTTGGGTCCAGGGCAAGGCCAGGGAGGCCTGGGGGGAGGACACACGATGAACGAACGAACGACGAAGTTGAACGACGAACGAACAAACGACGACGACGAAAATAAGGAGGCGGGGGGGGAGTACGACGAACGGGAGGGCAGGGGGGGGAGAGCGATGCGGGCTGGGTCCAGGGAGTGGGTTAAGGAGGCCAGGGGGGGAGAGCGAGGGGAGCTGGGAGGGCTGGGTCCAGGGCACGGCCAGGACGGCCAGGGGGAAGGACGAACGACGAACGACCGAGCGACGACGACGAAAATAAAGAGTTCCGAGCTCTAGAACACAGCTGTGCACGAGAATAACATGGTCGGACGGAAGGGGAGCCGGTGCAATGCCGCGCCGTGCCGTGCCGCAAGAAAGCGGCCGGGGCGGAGGGACGCGCTGAAGGATTCGGAGAGCGCATATGGCCTGCAAGAGGGGGACAGTTGCCGTGCCGCGCCGGGACAGAACTGAGGACGGGTGGGGGGGCCAGGCGAAATAAAGCGATCGGGGCGGAGGGAGCACTCGGTTGCTGGGGACAGGGATGGTGAAGACAAGGAGGCCGCTGGGGACAAGAGGGGGTGCGACGCGAAATAAAGTGGTCGGGGCGGAGCGGGAGGGGGGCGGGGGGGGAGGGCGGGCGCGGTGCGACGCGGAATGGAATTGTTGGGGCGGAGAGGGCACTGGGCGGAAATTCCACTGGGCCGTCGGTGCACGCTGGGGAGGATTGGGAAGGGGGGCGGGCAGGGGGTGGGGGGCGCGCGGAGTAAAACAATCGGCGCGGAGGGGGCACTGGGCGGAAGTGGGAGGGGACACTGGGCAGAGGTTCCACTGGGCCACTGGGGGACGCTGGGGAGGGGTAGGAGTGGTGGCGGGGCAGGAGGGGGTGCGGTGCGACGCGAAATGAAGCTGTAGGAGCTAAAGACACCATGTGCAAGATCATAACAAGTATAGGTGTCCGACTTGGCGCAGCACCTGGCGGGTGCCGCGGGGGCAAAGACGTCAACAGAGATGTGCGGCAAAGCTGGATGCCTAGAGCAGGCGCCCGCCAGGTAGGAACCGAGGGCAGCTGTAATACCTTTGTGAATAACCTCCATCTCCCCCCTCCCCTCCTCCTCCTCCTCCTCCTCCTTCTCCTCCTCCTCCTCCTCCTCCTCCTCCTTCCTCCTCTGCCCCTCCCCTCCCCCTCCTCCCCCTCCTCCTCCTCCTCTCCTCCCCTCCTCCTCCTCCTCCTCCTCCTCCTCCTCTCCTCTCAAGCACAGGTGGGCGGAGCGCGTAGTGCCATCTTTTGGCTCTCACTCGCTCGCGCTAGCCTAGCTTCCCGCCTCCTCGTCGGCGCTTGGGGGACACCAGGGCGTCTGGACAGTGTTGGGATTCTTTTGCTCGCAACGGCATCGTTCAGCCCCTCCTGGTGACGAAGGGAAGCGAATTCGTGTTTCAGCATTTTCCCGAACATCTTCCTCGGCATCCCGTCCGCACCGAGGGGCACGGGGGCTTCGAGCCCATCTAAGTCCCACTCGGGCGGCGGAGCGCGGCGGTGTTCGTCGTGGTGCTCTCCTTGGACCTCTTCATCGGCATCCCGTCCGCAACCGGGGGGCACGGGGGCTTCGAGCCCATCTAAGACCCACTCGGGCGGCGGCTTTTTCGCTGGGGCGTGGTTCTGGGAGCTATTTCAATTCAATTTTTGGTTTGTGGGTGCAGTGTTCTCGGCTGGAAGGAATGAACACTTTGGCTGGTTATTCTCGATTGCGTTACTGTTTTGCAAGGCTGTTTGTGGATGAGGCGATCTTTATGATATACGTGCGAGGTTGCCCGATTATCTACGGTAGGGCCGAATCGAGCCGAGTTCATTTCAGCTTAGCTTATCACGTTTCGTTTGTCGAGGGCGCCAGTCAGTTTGGAGGGATTCGCCATGGTATGTTATCATGAACTTCGGTGTCGCGTTCTACTTGTACCTCTCGCTGGGTTCCTCCTTCTGGTTCGTCTCGTTGGCGGGTGAGCTCAGGGGGCGGCCTTAGCATGTAGCTTTGATTTCACTCTTGTGAAGGCGGTAATCCTGGTAATCCTCCTCCTCCTCCTCCTCCTCCTTCTCCTCCTTCTCCTCCTCCTCCTCCTCCTCCTCCTCCTCCTGCCCCTGCCCCCTCCCCCTCTCCTCCCCTTCCTCCGCGCGCCTCCGGGCGGCCGCGCTGCCTGCCACGGGCCGCGCGCGCCCCCCTCCCCGGGCACCGCGCGGTCGGGGACCTACAACCCGCTAGATTAAAAGTTGGGACGGCGGGGTTCGAGAGAGAGAGAGAGAGAGACGCTGTTGGCCACCCGTTAGGCCATGGGGCCCAGGACAATGTTGGATTTGATGCCGAATTGGGAGTTTCAGACGCATACCTCACCCCCTTTAATATTATAAAGGCCAAGTGGGGCCGGCGTCTGAAAGTGGCGTTCCGCCTAGGACATCCTCGATACAGTTTCAGATCGCCTTCCAAGGCGATCTGAAATTCTCCCATGCCGTCTGAAAGTGGCGATTCCGCCTAGGACTTCCTCACACAAAGTTTCAGATCGATGTTCATGCCGCCTGAGAGTGGCCGTTTCGCTTACGACGTCCCCAAACAGCACTTTCAGGTTGCCTTCCATGCCGCCAGAAGACAAAAAATTCGTGTGCGATGATTTCCATAATTTTGTGCTGCAGAGCTCCACGCCCTGCGGAGCCGTTCCGTCATTCGGTTCACGGGCCTGCCTTGGAGTCATCTCGGGTTTCATCGATGGTGGAGGCTCGAGGGCCAGTCGACCGGCGAAACCCGCGGGGATCGCTCTCTCGCAGAGTGCCGGTCGCAACTTTTTAATCCAGAGGGTGGTTGCAAAAAAAACGCTTGGTTTGGGCAATCCCCAGCGTTCAGACCCGTAGCCATTTCGGTTCGAAACATGTCTTCGGCCACTCGGCCGAAGCTGGTTCAAGCGTTGAACAGGGCAGCGAAAGCCTGTGATTATGAAAAGTGTTTGCGCACGCCGGAGGCTCTGCACGCCCTCAATCGCAGCGGCATGAAGCTGGTGGACGAGTTCCCGAAGGTGTCCCAGGACTTCAATGCAATTGAGAATGCTTGGGCAATCTTACGGGATCGCCTAGACGAGACGTGCCCCGTTGAATTGAAGCCCAGGGATCAGTTCGTGAAGCGACTGCGAGCGGCAGTGCGGTGGGCCAATACGCACAGGTCAGATCAGTTGTGGTACTTGTCCACCAACCAGAAAGAGAGGGCAAAGGACTGCCTGCGGTCGAACCCGCCCGGATCTCGCACGAAGTGGTAAATGTGCGTCGCAGTATTAGAGGAATGTTGTGCGTGCCGATGTGGAACATGGAAAGCACGTGACAGTGACGCGACGTCCGCTGGCGGCGGTCAACCCGCTGGATTAAAAAATTGTGACGGCGGGGTTCGAGAGAGAGAGAGAGAGAGAGAGAGAGAGAGAAAGACGCTGTTAGCCACCCGTTAGGGCATGGGGCCCAGGACAATGTTGGATTTGACGCCGAATTGGGAGTTTCAGACGCATACCTCACCCCCTATAATATTATAGAGGCCAGGTGGGGCCGGCGTCTGAAAGTGGCGTTCCGCCTAGGACATCCTCGAAACAGTTTCAGATCGCCTTCCAAGGCGATCTGAAATTCTCCCATGCCGTCTGAAAGTGGCGATTTCGCCTAGGACTTCCTCACAACAAGTTTCAGATCGATGTTCATGCCGCCTGAGAGTGATAGTTTCGCTTACGACGTCCTCAAACAGCACTTTCAGGTTGCCTTCCATGCCGCCAGAAGACAAAGATTTCGTGTGCGATGATTTCCGTAACTTTGTGCTGCAGAGCTCCACGCCCTGCGGAGCCGTTCCGTCATTCGGTTCACGGGCCTGCCTTGGAGTCATCTCGGGGTTCATCGATGGTGGAGGCTCGAGGGCCAGTCGACCGGCGAAACCCGCGGGGATCGCTCTCTCGCAGAGTGCCGGTCGCAACTTTTTAGTCCAGAGGGTGGTTGCAAAAAAACGCTTGGTTTGGGCAATCCCCAGCGTTCAGACCCGTAGCCATTTCGGTTCGAAACATGTCTTCGGCCACTCGGCCGAAGCTGGTTCAAGCGTTGAACAGGGCAGCGAAAGCCTGTGATTATGAAAAGTGTTTGCGCACGCCGGAGGCTCTGCACGCCCTCAAATCGCAGCGGCATGAAGCTGGTGGACGAGTTCCCGAAAGTGTCCCAGGACTTCAATGCAATTGAGAATGCTTGGGCAATCTTACGGGATCGCCTAGACGAGACGTGCCCCGTTGAGTTGAAGCCCAGGGATCAGTTCGTGAAGCGACTGCGAGCGGCAGTGCGGTGGGCCAATACGCACAGGTCAGATCAGTTGTGGTACTTGTCCACCAACCAGAAAGAGAGGGCAGAGGACTGCCTGCGGTCGAACCCGCCCGGATCTCGCACGAAGTGGTAAATGTGCGTCGCAGTATTAGAGGAATGTTGTGCGTGCCGATGTGGAGCATGGAAAGCACGTGACAGTGACGCGACGTCCGCTGGCGGCGGTCAACCCGCTGGATTAAAAAGTTGGGACGGCGGGGTTCGAGAGAGAGAGAGAGAGAGAGACGCTGTTGGCCACCCGTTAGGCCATGGGGCCCAGGACAATGTTGGATTTGATGCCGAATTGGGAGTTTCAGAGGCATACCTCACCCCCTTGAATATTATAAAGGCCAGGTGGGGCCGGCGTCTGAAAGTGGCGTTCCGCCTAGGACATCCTCGATACAGTTTCAGATCGCCTTCCAAGGCGATCTGAAATTCTCCCATGCCGTCTGAAAGTGGAGATTCCGCCTAGGACTTCCTCACACAAAGTTTCAGATCGATGTGCATGCCGCCTGAGAGTGGTCGTTTCGCTTACGACGTCCTCAAACAGCACTTTCAGGTTGCCTTCCATGCCGCCAGAAGACAAAGATTTCGTGTGCGATGATTTCCATAACTTTGTGCTGCAGAGCTCCACGCCCTGCGGAGCCGTTCCGTCATTCGGTTCACGGGCCTGCCTTGGAGTCATCTCGGGGTTCATCGATGGTGGAGGCTCGAGGGCCAGTCGACCGGCGAAACCCGCAGGGATCGCTCTCTCGCAGAGTGCCGGTCACAACTTTTTAATCCAGAGGGTGGTGCGAGAGCCCTCACCTCTGCGGCGAGCTGCTCCCGCCCACCACCCTTCCTGGAAGGGCCCCAGAGACACACAAACAAACACACACGAACCCCAGGATTCCCCACCTTTTCACATGGTTTCTCGATGTTCGTTCCCCCCCCCCCTTCCCATGCTTTTTCCCACATGTTCGGGGAACCGACGCTCCATTGTGTCTGTGTGTGTGTGTGTGTTTTTCCCTCCTGAACCCCTCCTGCCCGCCCACCCGCCCCGCACCCTCCCCCTCTCCCCCCTGCCCCCCCTCCGCCCCTGAGATCCGACGTCGCAAACAGATAGCACTTCGCGACAGACCACGGCTGGAGTCCTGGACCCCA